AATCTTCCTACTTCAATTCTTGCCTTTTTCTAACCCTTTCTTCAATAGGGTTTAGCCAACTCATGCATGCAGTTTCTCTTTGGATTTTCATCAAACACTTCATATGCACATGCAACTACCATGTTGGCTACGCTTCCACATCTCTCTAAATCCACCAAAATTTGAGCAAAAACTCACTAATTATAGCATCAAACCTGGCCATTTTCAACAATTCTCAAAACTTCAAAAATTCCATCACTAATTCTTCCATAATTCCACCAAATCATCACATACTCATACACTACTTCCCATGGCTGGAAATTATGCATCATTAAACATCAAAAACAGCCAATAACTCTCTCATACCATCATATACAAACATCCAAAAATTCATTCAACACAAGTCTTGCTCAAATTAAGGCTAAAATTAGGTTTATTTACCTTGAATGTGTGATATAACTTCATTTTGCTAAAAGTCTCTTCCTCTTGGACCTATATCATATAAAAACCAAAAGAATTTAAAACTTTAAAGTTTAATCACACTCCTTGTGCTAGAATCTTACCTTTGGATGCTTTAGGATTGAAAATCTATAAAAATCCAAGCCAAATCCTATGATTTCCCTTTGAAATTTAGTGAAGAAAAATTGAGAGAAAATGGGGGTGAAGGGTGGCGTGAATAAGGGTTAGAATGGCTAGGGCTTAGGTTATTGCAACCTATATTTATATTCCCATTTTGCCCTTGCACTTTCTATGAAATTTCATCTATATCCTTTAGTCAATTACCAAAATACCCTCATTTTTATTATCTTCTTCACATTATTTTTCTTCCTTTCACTTCCCACTTTTTCAACTAATTATGAGTGAAAAGACCATTTTACCCCTAATGAAGTTTTAAGGAATTTTCTTCACATTTGTCTAAGGTAACTTCAAAGAAATCCAACTAAGGGTATTAGGGCATAAATAAAATTACGTACCTTGTAGGGTGTTACACCTTTATCATGTCCCGTTTGACTACATTGGCATTCATAATTATATGTTCAGAAAAGACTCATCCTATAACCATCTAGTTCAAACAAATTCTGCATTTGACCAACAATTTCAATGCAGAATCAAACTCACCAAACTGAACAAAAGCATCGGTCATATCATTCCATGAAATAATGCTTCTTCCCAGCTATTCTCAAACACTTTCTCTGCTAAGTCCAAGCACCCACAAGAAGCATAAAAATGAAATAAATTATATTTATAAACATCTGAACCAAACCCATATTTCAAATTTGGCATGAGCTTGTTTCCCCTCAAAGAGAACAAACAAGTATGCCACAAGCTTTCAAAGCAAATGGGCATGTGTGCTTACAAGCATAACATTTCCTTCCTCAACATCCTTTTATAAAGGTTTATAGCCATTTTAGAATCAACGTTTTGTACGCAAGCTCTAAATGTGTTCCACATAAGGAATTAGGAGCATCGATTTGATAAAACACAAACTGCATAGTCAACGCAACAAAGGATGCAAAATTGAGAATTCTATTGAAGAGAAAGAGAGTGTAGTGATGGTGAGGCAATGTGGTATGGAGAAGGGGAAAAAAAAAAAAAGCGATTTCACAATTTATTTCATCAAATAGAGAGCGAAGGAAAAGAAAAAATAAGAAGCAAAAACAAGATTGATGGAGAAGAAGAAATAGAAAATCAAAAGTTGCGTTTGGCCTCTAACCTATTCTATCTTACCCAAAATACATATTTGTTTCTTATTCTCAAATTCAATCCTATTCTTCAACAATTTTAAACCCCCTAAGTTTGTTAATTTAACTAACCCCCTAACAAAAAATTATAAATGATAAAAACACTCTCCCCCACCACATTTGCCAGATTTTAGCTACCACCGCTGGAAGGTGGCCAGAATCTACCATAATGGCGCACTACCAGCTGGATCTGGCCAGTAGTGCAGTGATCTAGCCTTTTTCGGCCAGCTACACCAAAGATCTGGTCGTTGACGGCCAAACTTGGCCATAGATTTGGCCTTTTTCGAACAATTTATTAACTTTTATTGTAAGGGGGTGTTTAGCTAAATTAACAAACGTATGGGTGTTTTTATAATTTTCAAATCCTACCTCGCAATAACAACCCAACTCAACTTTTCAAATACTACTCAAAACAATAAAACACACAGCCAGATGTGGAGAAGAAAGAAAAAATTGTTAATTGATGTAGCAAACTTGCAAGGGCATTCCAGTTCTTTTCATAAGTGTTACCATTTGCAGACGGAAATCACTAATAGAGAATGATGGAAAGTACCTATTTTTTGTTTCCAAACTGTTTGGTACCAAATTGTCTTTACGAAAAACTTTGGTGGGTGCATGTTGTTCACCCTTTTATATAATGTGCTCTTCCAGAGCCTTCAATTACATTTGTAGACCCTCAGTATATTAATTAGCCTCAACAAGGTAAGACTTGAAAATATTGTTATCTTTAGGGATTGTATATGTAGCTGTATTGTCCTAAACACATATCATCGTTAGTTTTTGGAAAAAGGTAACTCATTTTGAAGTCCATGTCTTAAACTGGTCGTGATGATAACGTGATGTATAATAATAAAGCTGAAGGTTGAGTTAATAAAAAAATAGAGATAGGATAAAGTGAGAGATTTGAGAAATATAGGACTAAAGAGATATTTTCCATTATGAAGCTTACTATCAATCAGGACATTTTTGGGTATTGTCAATATTGTGACAAGGTGGGATTTTGGGGCCTTTTATAGCCTAATTCACCGCCCCAATACGATACACATGTCCCTTATATTATGGCTTTCAATTCTATTGGACTACTTGATTAGAATTCCCTGAACAATTATGGCTAATGTAATTAGGGTTGTAAACGAGCCGAGCCAAGTCGAGTTTGATTTCGAGCTTGGCCGTTTACTACAGGATCGAGCTCGAGCATGTCGAGTCAGAGAAAGGGACTCGAACTCGAACTCGATCAAGTTAAGTCGAGTTCGAGCTGACTCGACTTCATCTTCTCATCTCACTTTATCTTCATCATCTGCATCTTTATCTTCATCTTCATCCTTTTCTCGTCTTTATCTCCATCATCTTCATCCTCATCTTTATCTTCACCTTCTCTTCATCTTCGTCTTCGTCTTCATCTTTATCTCATCCTTCATCTTCATCTTCGTCTTCATCTTCATCTCATCTTCATCTTCATCTGCAGAACATTACGAGTTACGCTGCTTCCATCTTCATCTTCATCTTCTTCCTCACACACCATTATTTGATTTTGATTTCTGATTTCTGATTATGAATTTTGCAAGAACAATTTAAGGTTTAGGGTTTGTGGATTTGGGAAATCTGATTTGGGGGTTTAATTTGTGTTTTTAGAACTAATTACCTTGGGGGTTAAATGTCATTTTTATAAATTTTAAAGTTAAAGATAAAGATAAACCTTTAGTCCCCACTTTTATAAAACTAACAAAAGGAACCCTATTTAGCTGAGCCACCTCAGGCTCGCGAACCTACGAGCCAAGCCTCCCCATGTTCGAACTCGACTAGTTTTATATAGTGAGCTCGAGTCGAATTGACTCAGCCGCGAGCCGCTCAACTCGTCTGACAGCCCTAAATGTAATAATAAATTGTGTTACCTTGTTTAGGTTATCTTACATTGCGAACTCCCCAGGATCTTGTTCTTTTTATTTTTTAATCATATTCAGCTTGTGAATTATTTTATTAAGAATATTATAGTGAACTTATTGTTACAGCTTTTCCTAAAGTCACTTATTTATAACTATAATTTAAAAAATATTTGATAAACTAACTTGAAAAGCGAATCTAATTATGAATAATTTATTTTATTAAAAGACTCCGAAAGTAGGATTGGTCGTCGATCTATCCAATGGAGTAGGCGTTGTCATTGAACTTGCCATTGGAACGACGTCATTTTTTAAATAATAAATATTTTTTTAATATTTACAAATAATAAGAAGTTTTCCAACCAACAACCCTGCGAGTGTTCTCCCTTTTTTATTTTTTATATTAAATAAAATCTTTTTTCATATATTTAAATAACTAAAAAACTTTTTAAAGAAAAACATATTTTAGTCTGTTACATTTGTCACATTTCAATTTTTTAAAAGTAAAACAATTTAAAAATTGAACAAAACAAACACCTAAAAACTTATATCAAAGGCTAATTATTTTTAAAATTAAACACAGTGATTAAGGGAGAAGCTACAACAATCCCAATCTAAGCCTGAATGCCTTAAGGATCGAAATTTAACAATCTTTTTCCATTTGGTCCAATTTAAGTATTAATCCGATTCAAGAAATAGGATTTAGTTTTCTTTTTATAATAACCATCATCATAATGGTTAATAACAAGTGGCATCATTTAATCAAAATATATCAGTGGGTCAAACAAAATGATGAGTATGAAGTGATAATCATTCTACTATTTTCCTCCCTTTTTTGTTATCAAGTATTTTAAGAGTAATATTATACTCACAATCTCTTCTTACAAACTTTTTCTTACAATTCCGACATAACAATTTAATTGATCAGTCGCAATTTATCAAGTAAAACCTATTACAACTAACTAATTACGAACTGTCAAATACGGTTATAAAAAAATTTGTGAAAGAGATTGTTGATGAACATTTTCCATATCAAATTTATAAAATTTAGCTTACATTAAAATTATACCTCTCTTAATTTGAAATAGTAATTTTTGACATATTATCATAAGGGCTCAAATGGCAATAACAAGTTGTTTCATAAATTGTTGGAATTTAATTAGAAAATATTAATAAGGGAAACAATGAATCCAATTGAGAAGCAGTAATGCAAGTGGAAGGGAAGAATGAAAATGCCGAAAAGAGTAGAAGTGAAATGAAATATCATATATAAAATTAACAAAATGGCAGTTTTATTCGAAGTAGAGAAGAGCATGAATAACACCATCTCTCAATGAATGAGTGGAACAAGGCATTCCATGTACACACTTTTATCCAAAGTCTCAAAGAGAGACGACGGCCCACTCAGAGTGGAGGAAAAATCAGCCTCTCTTTTAGAATCTATCTATGCTTACGTTCCCTAGTGGAGCCCCTCGAGTGTCGCGGCTCCTCCTCCCACTCCACAGCTGGCGGTGGTTGTGGTGTTGCCTCATATCTTGAAGGTTTCCTCTTGAAATGCCTGTCATCATCACTCGACTCATAGTCCACACCACAACCACTCTTAAGTAGCTTGGCAGAAGATGACTTGTAGTCCTCGTAAAATCCATTCGAGGATGGCTTGGCTGCTTCTGTTGTTGCTGCTGAAGAAGAGGAAGAGAGCTTTCGTTTCTTTGCGTTGGCAGCTTCTTCTTCAGGGAAACTAATGCGAGAAAAGACACTCAGTTTGTGTTTTTTGTCAGCTGCTGACATTGTCGGTGTTGATGTTGAAGTGGATTTGACGACTGTTTCTGAGGAAGGCTTTGAAGAGGACTCTGAACGGTGATGGTGATGATGGTGATGCCTTTCACGTTCACGTTCACGTTCACGGTCGTGGTCATGATCATAGTCATGGTAATCATAATCATGGTCACGATGGTGATCAGACTTTCTCTTGGATGGCCGTGGGGGTGGAGGTGGTGGTGGTTCTGGAGATAACCTCACAGGCCTGTGGCGGTGGTGATTGTGATCAGCACTTGAAGCTTGAGGAATTGATTTCTGCGACCAAAAGCATATATAAATGTTCAGTCAAAATAGCGCAACAGTATTGGGCTTTTTTATAGTTATTATTATAAACAAAGTACAACTAATTGAAAGATATTGTAAAACTCAGTTAATAACCATTTTAACCAATAAAATGTTTTAAATTAATTTTTCCCCCCGTCCACGTGTGTCCTTAGAAACTAAAAGATCTAAGCCCACAACATAGTTACGCATCAGTTATTTTTTTTTAAAATAAGATGTAAATTTGATGATGTTATGTCAGTATAATAAGATATTTTAAACGCCCGAGGCTGGTGGAAGCAACAGCCCAAGCTCCTACTCATTTGGCCCAAAGTATACATCATAAGCTGCAGCAGCTTTGTCCCTCGAAGCCAGAGGTAACCTCAGTACCCACAGCCAACTTACCAGTGTATTCAGACAATTACTATCCCAGTCAGATCGTCGTGAGCAGCCACATCAGTAATTTTTTTATTTATTTTTTCTTTTTACAAAACAAAGCAGCTGCAGCACTTGACAGCATTTGCTAACAAAAGAGAGATATAGCTGCCAAAATTATAACTCTGGGGGGAAGAAAAATGTCTGTACAGGTAAGTTGGCATAACTTTATTAACGGGGTCACAAAGCTCGTATAGCACCATGAAACATACCCTTTAAAATGGAGCAGTAACAATGTTCAGCTCAGATGTTATCCTTTTTTTAATGTTATATCTTTTTGTTCTTGAAATATTAGAACTTGTATGGATAGGAAAGAAGCTAAGAAATTTCAAGTTCCATCCGTCCTACAAATTCTCTATACCCCCGTCAATTGGAGAATTATCTTCAAAGTTAAATAGAGTAAGATCGAAAAGAAAAGAACCCATCCAAAACTCCAATAAGAAAATTCCCAATTATTTGATCCTAAATGCAGCAGTAGAACAAAATTTCGTTCCCTTTTCCGATAGATGAAAGAAAAATTTGCTATCTTGACAAAAAGGTTTTTTCTTGCCATGGTGATTTTATCTAGCCAACTAGTTGCTCGAAACCATGAAAGAAACCAGCTGTAGTACACAGAAAGAGAAGAAAGGGAAATTTGGAAAATATAAAGACATACAGATTTTGGTTTCATGGAAGAAACATCGACACTGCTGCTCACTTCTCTAGCATAGTCTCGATCTCTACTGAAGTCCCTGCAGTAAATTGAATTTATCGAACATACCTAAATCATCAATCAACAAATACAAGTAGCTGCAGTAATACGGCAGTGAGGAACCAAATGCCATATATATTAAGCCAACATTTAAAATGAATAACATCAGTGATGCTATACAAAAAAAAGTATGAAATACAAAAGTATAAAATGTTGGCATCGCATATTAATTTATCGAATAATATTACCTTTCACTTCGTCTCTCATTTTCACGCTTCCTCCTTAAATCAGCTTTCCGTGCCTCAAATTCTTCTCTGCTCATTACAGGGTGTGCGGGGTGTGGAACATTCATGCCCATTCCAAGATCTGCTAGATCCCTGCATTTTAGGAGAACAAGTGCTTAGTATGCTTGTATAAAACACAATACATCTAGTGCATTCACAGACAACCTTTATCAATATTCAGCACACTAGTGCTGTATCCAAATTCAGCAAATATGCCATACATGAAAAAAAAAGACCACAACTTGCTAACACACCCTCATAACAGTTCACACAGGGCATACCTCTGAGGAGGAACACCGGGCAACATATAACCTTGTGCCATAAAAGGGTCCTGGTGCATGACACCTCCAAACGGCATGTCTAAGGGGCCCATAGCATAACCCATATAGGGCATGGCCCCACCAAACGGAGCTCCATATCCTTCCATCCCAGGCTGAATGCCGGTCCAGTAAGGATTATAAGCTGAGGGTCCAAGAGGCATCATATAATTCTCAGCTGCAAAATCTTGAGGGGTTTTCCATTGTAAGTCTGCAAGGCATCCAAAATTCTTTTGATTAATCAAAAACACTTCATAAAACACTCTTTACAGTTGATTGAAGATGACCATACTTATTAATTACTAAAGCAATCAGAAAAAGAAACAATCAGTGAATTTGCAAAAAACATCAAACATATCCCAAAGAAGAGAACAGGCCTACCATTTGGAGGCATGCCATTAGCAGGCATGCGAACTTTCTTCTTTTTCTTTTTCTTTCCTGACAAAGCAATAATCAAAGCTAGTTAGACAATTATCATGCCTCATTTCAACAATCAACCTATACAATATTTCTATCCCACTAAAAATCTTTCTTTCCACATGCTCTTCTAGAGTTTAACAAAACAAGGAATAGTAAGTTTTTCAGGCATAAATTATATGAAAGGAAAATTAAATACAAGGTGATTTAGCCCACCCAACACTGGTGCGTCGCCTAAAAATTGATGGAAGAACAAATGTTACCTGCCTCCCCAGAAGCCATCTTCTGCTGGACTTCCTCCTCCACCAGTGGGGCACTCCCTTGTGATGCAGGCTCCTTCACACTCATTGACTCAAGTGTGGCTTCAGACACATCAGGTGCTTTTGCTACTGCCCTTGGCTTTTCCAGAACCTGCTGTGGAGCAATAACAGCTTTTCCCTCGTCTGCTGTCTCCTTCATGACTGGAGTTTCTTCTTCAATAGGCAATGGCTTTTGCTCTCCTTTTGAAGCAGCAGACATAGTAGGAGATGGAACCTTAGGCGGCAACCTGGCAGATTCCATATCTATAAGAAGACAACAGTGAAATTAGTCATTTCCATTAAACCAGAAACAGATGGTGAAAATAAAAGGTCCATATCTACAAGAAGAACAATGATATTAGTCATTTTCGTTAAACCAGAAACAAATGGTGAAAAAAAAAAAAAAGGCATGCATCTTAATACGGACCTTGAACTTGAAAAGTGCTTCCAGCATTTTCAGCACTACTGTTACCAGACTCCAAAATACGATTTATCGTATCCCTAAGTGTCTTGTTTGGCAGAAGATCATCTGCGAGAATATTTGTGGCCCCACATACACACATTGCTTTTGAAATAATGTGGTCCCTGATGCCTGAATTATGTTGTACAGATGTAAGCTTCAATTTAAGGAGAACGTATATAATAATGCAGTGAAAACAAGGAGCAAGAGAGAGGAACATGTCTGACAGTAATAGGTAAAAATCTCTGAATATGACAAAGAAAATTTATCATGCTTAAGTGATAAAATCATAAAATACAAGCTTATGACAGGGAACTTACACTTATCACAGAAACTCTTGAAACAACATTTGCTTGTTAATACAGCATCTTTCATTACTTCCTTGCACAATGGGCAGTGGAGTTCTGGGGGAAGATCACCAACAGGACGTGTGGAAGGTAAGCCCTCGATTTCTCTCTCAAAAGCAGCCCTGTAAATATTACAATAGGTTGCAATGCATCAATATGCCCACTACTGAGTTCTCTCCAATGGACAAACAAAAATTTAAACATAAATGTGGCATAAACCTACTCATTTGGCTTCAAAACAGCAACTGCACCACTTGGCAAGGCATATGAACCATCTGGAGTAGCAATTAGCATTGACTTTGGAATACCAGTAGGATGTTTAAATCTTTTGACATCATACTTTGGGTCACCATTAGTAGGGCAATGTTGAATAAAATGTCCTGAATAAGAAATTTCAATACATTGAGAATATTTCCCAATAAAAACTTTTAACTATGTTTTAAAAGGAAGGCAAAGCATTGGAGTTCTTTATATGCAATGCATAACATACATGTAGTGTGGCATAAGCTATTTTTGAATATCAATTCCATTTCAAATCTTATATATAAATAGTTTTGAAAAAGTTTAAGAAATAGTAAAATCAGAATCCCAAACAAGACTTTCAAAGCATTCAAAAAGGCTGAATAATTTCTTTACTGACACTGTTTACCCCAAAATGGAAAAAAATTGAAAATGCCTTATTTGATCAACCCTTTGGAGTTTGGATATCTTATTTTTGTATGAAAATAACACATTAGAAGTTTGAAAATAAATTTAAGATTGCTGAGAAAATCACATAGAGGCTATCAAAACACTTAAATCGAGGCTCTTTTTTTCTTTTCAATCCCAATGAATTTCAATACAGGCTTTACTTTTAACAAGAGCTGGCTACCTATTTTGAAGATGTTTTGTTCAAACAACAGCTTAGTTAAATTTTCGGCTTCAAAACTGCACCTAGGGTGTAAGCACCACTAGGTACATTAGACTCAAATCCATGCCCCATCTTAAAGAAGTATGTCATTACAGAATAATCAAAATTAATGCATTGATGCGTCTGAACTAAATCCCCCAAGTAGGTTTTTTACAAAAGGACAACCGAAAAAGACAAGTGTAAGCATACCTGGAACCTTACACCTGTGACATACATAGCCCTGTGGAGGTGTTTTACGCTCCAAACCTGAAAGATCTCAGAAGATTAACCCAGAATCAGTTTTACATAGCCAAATTAGTAGTATACTTACAGTAACACAAATAAACGAACATGTAAACCTCAGATATGCCAAAATCAACATAACAGGCCGATAAACACAAAAAGATGCTGAAAGAGAGACACATGCACAGAGAGTGCATACAAATTCAGTTAAAACTAACATTTCCTAATTAATATGTAAAATTAAATTAAATTAAAAAGATGTGGTCATAGAAAATCACCAAAACCACGTCCACCCATCCTTCCTCCCATACCCCTTCCAAAGCCTCTACCAGGGCCAAAACCATCAGAACCTTGCCTGCAAATCCAATCCAAAAAGTTAACATAAAATGTAATGTAAAGGAAAAAAAAAATTCTAATCTGCATTTAATATCATTTTAGCAGTCAAAAAATCAATCATCAGAATTAAAAAATGCGGCAGAAAAAAACCAAATGGGATCTCACCGCTGCCAGTCCAAGGCAGGAGTATCAATTAAAGCCTTGATCTTGCTGTCCTCATCAGCTTTATTTGATGGTGGAGCATCTGGAAGTGGATTGCTTGACTGCACAGATGGTGCTTCAGGAATTGCATACAAATCATTCCCAAACTCATCCCATTCAGTGTCTTCATTCTGTGTTCATTTAAGACAATATTAGTTAAATGAACAGGAAATCAAGTCATCAACTTACAACAAACCCAATATAATCTCAAGGGAAAACCATAGAATAAAAGCTTACATATATCATAACAGAAGTATCGGCTGCCTGGAAGCTACTCTTTTCTTGTTGTGTGTCCTCAGCCACAGGTTCCACCTTAGGCCTGCATAATATAAATTCAGTAAACTCACCAAGCCCCCATAACTTGTCTCACCAGCAACTAGACAATACAAATAACATCAAGGACAATAACATGTTTTTACTTATAAAATATAAAACAACACTGCCTGAATCTTCAAGGTCAGGGCTCATAGATCATGCAATCCTGATGCTACTACAACAAAAATCTTCATAACCATGATCTTGATGCTACTACAACAAAAATCTTCATAACCATCTATTATCACCTTGACCTACAACAACCAATAGATTAACAACTTAAAGGTTTGAGAAAGTACTCTGGCTCGGTAACAATGGGCATGCGAGGCCGTCCAGGAACCCGACGAATTAATACAGAAGTATTTTTTGGAATTAACATTGCCTCATCAAGATATTCTGAAATTGCAAAAAAGAGAGAAAAAAGTCTATAAAAACACAACAAAGATATTGACCCATGAATTAAACATAATTTCACCACAACACACAATTCCCCTTTAACTCTCAGTCAGAAAAATGTCAGCCTAACTACTAAAACCCAGTAACCATCTCTTAACCACTCAAGAAAAATGGAATTGCCTGCCATTAGATTCAGTTTTCTGCTCTATCCAGTAACCCCAAGTGCTTCTGTGTCCGATACTTTCTTTTGATATTATCAATGCTTGTAGCCAACTTACCAAATAAATATTACTTCATTATATACCACTACCTATTTCTGATTAGGTTTCATTACAAACCACAACCTATTTCTGATTAAGACAACATTGCTGTTATAGATCTAAATCCAGTAAGGCATGCCTACTAATTTGAAGCAAAAAGCCAAAAGCCATATGACTTTCATTTTGCACACAGTCAGAAACAGCAAAGCTATCATCATTGATTACGGCAAATCCCAAACCCAGAAAGCTAAACTTATCTCACTATTAGAAACCCAAATTTGTTAAGAAATCAAGATTAAAAACCCATTATTATAATGTACTACTAGAAAGCAAAAACCAACCTTCGTTAGTTTGGGCATTAGTGACCAGGAGGTCGAAGTCGGTACCCCTGCCTAAATGCTTTGATTCAAAAATTTTTTCTTTCAAGGTACCAACTGATATAAATGGACCGTCCATTGCGATAGAATCATAATCTCTTGCACTCTTAAACTTGTAATAAACAGCCATTCCTTTTTTCTGATTTGATAAAATATTGTAATAGAATATATGGAAAATGGGAAAAGGAAACACAAATATAACGATATAATCAAAGGCCTTAAAAAATTAAAAGGCCTGACATTCAAATGAACTTAAAACTCGAACAAACAAAAATATGACAAAGTACAAAAGCAAAGGTCTCTCTTTTAATTATTTTTTTTCTGATTTCTTCGGTGTAACTAATGAAAGATCGAACCAATCAATTCGCGCAATGGATCCCGCTGAATATTCTTCACGCGTTGCTCGAGGCAAAAAAACTAATTTATTCAATACGAGACTGAAACCTTCAAACTCTCAAATTATCTGAGGCAAACTCCTTCTCGCACACAGCAAACGAGAAATTCGCAGCCGATTCTCTCAATTCAATGAAAAAATGGCAGATCCAACAGAAAAATGATGAAAACCCCAAATATTGGATTTCAATTAAAAGAATCGCCGCCGACCAAAATCTTCAAAAACTGATTAATTAGCGATCGACGAAGCGATATCCACGATCAATAGAGATGATCTTTGCGGCAAAACGCGAAACTTTTAAGCAACCAAAAAGTTGCCGTTGAATTGTCTTCAAGATAAGAAGCCGCGAAATCAAGAACAGATGAGAGCAAAAATCGAAGCCGAAGACTGTTATATAGAGTTAGGGTTTACAAAGATCAGATAATGGCTTTGAAATAGCAAAATTAGGGTTAGGGTTTCATAATAAAGACTATAAAGTGAGGGAGATTATTCTAGTTTCTTGATTCAACAACTGATTGATAATGTGGCATGCCTATTTGTTTGTGGTGTATTTATAGGTGATAGCAATGATTTCCTTACGTTGCACGGGTTAGGTGCTGTTTCTCGCGCTGTCGATTCACGCATTGTTTCTGGATAACGCTGGAGTGGGCCACATATTATATGACCAATTCGGCCCACAAACTTCTAGGCCGAATTCTATGAATGACAGCCAGCCCAATCCGTTTCGGCTGGTCCCAAATAATTAGTACGAGTAATATGTTCTAGCTGCATTAGGTAGGCCGCACTAGATTGGATTAAAAGGAGGCCGTACTAGATTGGATTAAAAGGACGTTTGGTTCAGGGAATGTTAGATTACTGAAAATATTGGATTACTGAAAAGTTAGATTACCTTGAAAATTATTGAAAATCTTTAGGAAAATGTGTTTAGTTAATTAGTGGATATGTTATATTAGAGTAGTGCTACAATTACTGAAAAGAGTGCACCGAATTCATGCACTGAATAACGTGACATAATCCTGACCATCGATTAATATTAATTCATAATTAATCGATGGTTAGGATTACGTCACGTCATTCGATGCGCTCCTTTCGGTAACTGTATTTTTTTCCGTTATATTAATATGTTTGGTTGGAAGGAATAAATTGGTGGGTATGTTATTTAAATTACTGAATTATCCTCTAATTAAATATTATTATTATATTATTTTTTTATATTGATTATTATTTGGATTATTATATGCATTTAAAAACTTAGCAAAAATAACTCCATAATAAAAGTTTGGAAAATCAACAAAGCACCCCTACCAACCCAGCCACTGCTGACCGTCGGTAACCACCATAGGCCGTTGACAGCTAGCAATCTAACGACGCACGGAAGGTAAGAAATGGCCTTCGTGCACCGTATGGCCATTTCTGGCCAAAGATCTGGCCGGAAATGGCCAGATGTGACAGATCTAGCCGTCGACGACCAGATCTAATATGGCTATCAACGGGCAGATCTAATCTGGCCGTTGACAGCCAGATCGACAAATCTGCCCTTTGATGGCCAAATTTGGCGCGATCTAGCCATTTCCGGCCTGATATGTCATGATCTGGTCATTTCCGGCCAAATATCATATCGGCGCATGGCGACCATTTTTGGCCTTCTGTGCACCATTCCAACTGTAGTAGTGGTTGTCGGCAGCAGGTGGGTGGGCTACAATTTATTTTGAATTCAAGGGTAATTTTATCCAAAAAGTTAATTAATTGGGATGAAATAGTAAAAGTCATATTCATGTAAATAAATTTAAAAATAAAGGCACTATTGTGCTAAAATTTTATTAATAAATGATAGAATTGTAACAAAACAAAGATTACCCAGGTAATCTTAGAATGCCTAAGAAAATGGAGGTAATCAGATTACCTCGAATAGTACCAACAGTAACTATTATTGGTATTTAAAGATTATCGGAATCTTATAGTACTTGACAACCAAATGTGGTAATCAAGTAATATAAGATGACGTAACCCTAGTAATCCCACATAACCCCCAACCAAACGCCCCCTAAAGAGTTTGTGCGGGATGTGAGTGAGTTAAATAGTATTGAAGTGAATTAAATATAATATTATCATATGTTTGGTACAATATTGGACTAAATATATAATTAAATTATTTATATAAAAGTATAAGTATAAAAAAAACTAATTAAAATGTTAAAAATTATAAATGAATAATAAAAATTTTGAAAATTAAAACAAAAAAAAATTAGGAGTGTAGGCCATGTTGTGTGTGGTTTTTCCGCCAAGCTCGAGCTGACACGAGGATATAGCTCGACCCAGAATGACCTCGATTACTATGATTGATCAACCCAGCATAAGCTCCGAGTCGTAACTCGACCCAGAACAAGCTAGTCGCGGACAACCCAAATGATCATTCAATTGATTCCCAGATAACTTCAGATCCCAGATATTACAGGAACAATCAGATTAACAGCAATCTTTGCACAATCATAGCGTCCAATCGCGAGAATATCAGAGTAGCGGTTCAAATCAATTGTAATCCCTTTATTTTCACTCTTTCCTTTATGTAAATCTTGTATATATACCCCACCTAAAACGATAAGGAAGGGGATACGAATTCTAGATTAAAAACTATATTGTAAGCTCTCACAGCATATAAGCAAAACACAGTGGACGTAGGCCGTTAACCTCGGCGAACCACTTTAAAAGTTCTCTTTGTCATTTATTTTCTAGCTTACCATTCAACCATCGCTGGTCACCCATAATCACGCACACATCAGTTCCGATCCCGACGAGGTCAATCGAATCTCGCTAGTTGGTGCATATTTCTGTATCAACATTTTGGCGCTAGAATGAGGGCTTCCGCCACTATTTCAAAGATCCCAGCAAACGTTCACCGCAATTTACCTCTCCCAAGACAAAAATGGTGTTCACCAGATCAAAAACTACCATCGGAAATCACAAGAATATGGAAGCCGCCCACCAGGAGGTGCAACAAGAGAACGCTGGACGCCAACCACCGGTGCCACCGGCTCAGCAAGCCGCAAACAATCAGGGGGCAGGGATATCAAATCCCGAGAACGGCTAGCTGATGGAGATGATCAGAACAATGGTTGCATAGACAGTGCAACAGAACATGGTTGAGCAAAGGAACCACCAACCAGTCGCCCAGAACCCCGACTAGCCGCGTTTCATAAACATTACCCTAACAGGTATGAATTCTACAGGTCGACAATCCGTTTCGTCACTGCTAGGGGGCGATAAACATAGCCAACCTCGCAGGCAACTTCTCACGCATGAGCGAGAGTCTCATGGGCAAACAAACCCCAAGAGGCAGCCAAGGAAACAACCGTTGAGGGAAAGTGAAGGCGACGGACACCATCGAAAAGCTTGGCAGTATCCCCGACGTTAGCGTGTGATTTTAACCCACGTCCAAGGCAAGATCGCTCTTCACAGGCTCGCATAGAGAGAAATGTGCGTCATTCTACCAATGACCGACATTTCGGTTATGACCGACGTCGCGAGCAACGTATTGACGAGCATGATAACGCCTTCCAACCCAGCCATCATGACTCAACCTCTCGTATCAACACGCGCATCGGAGGAGCTTTGTAAGCAACAAACTTGCAAACCCACTTGCTCGAGGTACAGCTTAATAAAACCAACCAAGAGAACCAAAATGAAGACTTGGATCGCATGTAAAAGATGCTCGACAATCTAAAAGTTCACTAGAATAACCTAGCAGAAGAAATAGCAAGTTCCCCCTTTACGAAGGAAGTTCGTCAGGCCCCGCTCCTATAAGGATTCAGGCACCAGAAAGCAAGTTAGACGGGAGAAGGGACCCTAGAGATCTCCTCAACAACTTTAATGACCTGATGAAGCTACACCAGGTCAATGACTTAGCGAAATGTCGATGCTTCGCACTCACATTAGTCGGAGATGCCAAAAAGTGGTACAAATGGCTCAAGGCAAACTCCAACTTTTGGCAACAATTCTCCACGCTATATCTACAACGATTTCAGGTAAGGAGACAGTTTGCAATGCTGCTCAGCTACTTGAGCAACATTCGCCAAGAACGTGATGAATCGCTAACCTCGTATTTGATGAGGTTCTAGAACGAGCAGGCAAAGGTTGCTGATGCCCCCAAAGAATCCATTCAGACTCTCCTGATGATAAGGATCAGGCCCCACATGGAGTTATGAAAAGAGCTCCAAAGCGAAGACCACGTGAGCCTGGTCAAATTCTGCTAGATGGCCGCAAAATACTAATGAGTAGAAAGCTCATTAATGGCATTAGCCGAAAGCTCGACATGGGGGGTCTTGGACAAGAGACAAGATCGCTCCTTGGATAAGCGGGGGGGCCAAGACCACAGTGATAGGGATCGTAACAGATTCCCAAATAAACAGAGAATAGATAACTATGGAGACAGACAGCCTTTCTCGCGGTATGCAGAGTACACCCCCTTACTCAAGACATCGCCCATATCTTTGAGGTATCCCGAGAGGCGAAGAGGCTACCCATTCTGGAAAGAATGAGGAGGGCTCCGTATCACAGGGATGTCGGGCATAATACGAATGACTGCCAAGCTCTGAAGGACGCCATCGAGGACTTGATAAGAAGAGGTCATTTGAAAGAATTTATTAAGGCAGAACCACCTCGAGATAATCCTAGCGAGCAAAGTAACTCGGTCTTAGGCCAGATATAGACCCTAGGTCAACAGGTCCTACTAAACCCCAACGAGGTCTTTGTGACTAGACTAGATATTATGGGAAGCTCAAGGAGACCCCGCGAGCAATACCCTCAAGAGACTAGAACAGACTCAATCCCTCAAATAATGAGTTGCAAACAGAAGCCGCCAAGCAGCCTAAATAGGAAAACGAGGTAGTGGGGTTCACAGTCGACGAGTGCGAAACATCCGCTCGTCACAATCATGACGCAATTGTAATCACGACAACAATTGGTAATGCAAGCGTATTAAGGGCTATGGTCAACAACTGGAGTGCGATGAACATTATTTTCTTAGGAGCCTTCCGAGGAATGGAATTTACATAAAGGAATCTACGAGCGTGCTCTTCGCTGCTCTATGGGTTCACCGGGGATAGCCTGGTTTCCAAAGGTACTATCGACCTCCCGTAACTTTGGGGTCGAACCAAAGGTCAAAACTGTGATAGTCAAATTCCTAGTGGTGGACTGCCCGACCACATATAACGTCATCCTTGAAGGCCAGTTCTGGATGATTTGAGCACAGTCACATCAGTGTGCTGCCAAGCAATGAGATTTCTGACTCTTGGGGGATTCGCGACAGTCAGGAGCTGCACTAAAGAATCAAGGGAATCTTATAATCGGGCTATAAACGCCGCACAAAAATGGCCGCATCCAAAGACCATGATCATCGCAAAATCCAAGCCAAACCCTGAACCGCTAGAAGACTCTATAGATCCTTGCAGTCACAAAGAGAAGCCCGCTGTGGGACTAACCGAGGAGCTGATAGGAGTAAGTGTTAGCGAGGAAGATCCAACT